CAGGGGTTTGGCTATTGTTAGAATAAATGATACACAAATACAGTAAGTTAACAACATAAAATTTGGAAGGACAATGTTTGTAATATTTTTGAGAAAAAAAGAATCCTTTATTAATGACACGCTACACACATGTTGCGTCACTATCGTGCGCCGAGAGGAGATGTGGAGGTGTAGAGATGAAGTCATCATCCAGCTCTTAAACACTGGGCTTTAAACTCTTCACGCTTAATGTGAGCATCTCATGTATAAATCCACACGCGTGTGTAAACTGGACCCATAGATCCAGAACCTGTGGATCCGACTGACTCACATCTCGGCCTCAAGCTGCAGGACACGTCCCCGGTGATTGTTTGGAGCATTAGCTGCTAACAGCTAACAACTGTAGCCGTGTCTGGTCCGAGCTGCTCCGGGGCCCCGGTCCACCAGCAGCCGCAACCCAGAAGCACCACAAAGTCAAAGACTGAACCCCGAGAGGTGGCCTGGTCCTGTGTGTGCAGAAACCAACAGCAGCCCGGTGCTATGAGATGTTAGCTGTGGGTGGTGAGTTTGTTTACTCTGGCTCGGTTAGCTAACCTGACTCCGTTTCTTTGTGGTTTTAGATTAAAAAAAACTTCCGTCTCAGACTTGTTCTGCTCATGTTTGTTAGGTGTACTCATTTTAATGTGAACCAACATCCTCGATCAAGATCTACTTGCAAAGCTGTAGCATAGTCATATCTTTATATCAGTGGTCAGACCTCAGTTTGTTTTTATCCTTCGTCTGCACGTTGAGCTAAACATTAATGTTGTATGCATTGGTTTAATTCTGTCTAAACATGCAGTAAATACTTGCCAAACTTTTCATTAAACAAAAACACTGATGTTCAAAACAAAGCAGATAGATATTGTGTTGTGTATTTGGTCTTTTCATCAGCTGCATGTGCAAGTGTCCTGGTGTGTTTCCTGTTGTAATGGTTCTGCTGTGGCAGGAAATGTGCACATGCAGTTTGTGGAAGGACCAAATTAACAATTTACACGAAAAAAGACACAGAGATAAGAAAGCAAGTCAGACAACTCAGATCAACATAGGCATAAAAATATGAATGCACTCGGCGTGTCAAGTGCGGGTCTGTGTTCACCAAACGAGAACAAGCCATACAGATGTGGATATGATCCAGACGACAAGCAGAGACTCAGGCTCCTTTCTTTGTTTTGAAATGGGACATTACAATAATGTTCATAATCAACATTTAAGTACCTGTAACTGTACCTGAGTTAGCCAAGAGGCACATTTTCATCAATAGTAACTTTGTGGGATGTCTATTAAAAAGATGATCATAATAATAAATGTAAATACATTATGACTTTGTGAATATGTTTTTATGTTAGAATAAACTTTTAAAGGTCCAGTGTGTAAGATTTAGGTGAAAGGGAACTATTGGCAGAAATTTAATATAGAATAATCATCATGATGTTTTCACTAGTTAGTGTCATCTAAATTGTATGAATTGTAGTTTTCTTTACCCCAGAAAAGATCCTTTATATCTAAACACTTTATATTTACATTGACGGTACCCTCTCTACGGAGGCCGCCATGTTTTTTACATTAGTCCACACTGGACAAACTAAACACCTTTTGAGTTTTTATGACAACTGAAGCTACCACAGGTTCTTTTTCATGTTTGGAAGGAGAGGGTGAGTTGAGGGGTGTTCAGCTGCAACATGCAATTTCAACACTAGATATCACAAAATTCTACACACTGAACCTTTAAATGACAAAAGTAAAAGAGATTAATGGCCACGATAATGCAGACGACACTAATAGGTATATTGGACATAAATACCACTCCACTGTTAGATTCACGATATGATCCTGTACTTTGTTTACATAATATGAATGTAACCAATTTTAAGAGAAGATTAATTTGGTATAATTTTTCTCAATACAGGTCTCATATCGGATGGAGGAGAAATTCACGACAATCATCCCACCAGCTGATTTTGAAAATACAGCTACTATGCCTTCTGTTGGACTGCTTTTTTAAAAGTAATAGCCATGGCTTCTCGCAAGGTAGACGAGCTACCTGGTGACACCAAGGACTTAGCTACAGTCTCCGAATCACTTTTGCGATGTAGCCTTGATGACATCACAGAGGAGCTTAATTCAGACACACTGAATGCTGCTGTGAAATCTCAAAAACCTGGAAAATTCCGGACTGCCCTGACGTTTTTTGGAGTGCGTAAAAATATCTGTATTTTACCAAGTTTTTTTGGAGGACGGAGTAAAAATCAGAACAAGTGCTCCTCTAAGAAAGGAATCACCAAAAGTAAAACGCATGATGGGCTGAGTAAGGTTTGTCATGATGACTGTCTGAGAGGAAGGTACTGCTCAGCTGGAGACACTGTATACCACAGCCAGAGGGACTCTTCAGGAGAGCTCCACACTTGCTGTCACAATGAATGTAGCCAGCCCACTGCTGACCAGAAGTCGCTGACTCTCGGTCGACAGAAGAAAGGTTTTAGGAGTCTGTTTAACAGTTTTAAGCATCACAGAAACCATAGAAATGCTGGCGTGGATAAAACCGAAATGATTGCAATGTCTTCTCCCCAATGCAAGACAGAGGTGCCTGTTGTCCAGCACAACACCAAGTTTGTCACAGAGTGCCTGGGATCTGAACCTGATGTGCCTGATTTTGCGGATGTTATACATGACGTTTCCGTTGGGGCTGAATGTAGTGGTGCTGTCATGGTTGCTCTAGAGAAGAGTGTAGAGCAAGATAGCCCAAAGTCTGAGCTCGATGATCAGATGTGTGATGTTCAAATGGAGGAGATGAATTTGATGGCTGTGGTTTCAAGTGATTGCGAGGAGACTTCTCTGGGACACAACTCGCCTCGTCTCAAAGTCCAGATGAAGTCTGACCCCGCGTTGAAGTCTGAAGCGCCCACTGGCTCGTCGGATCAGCTAAACCAGATGTTTGGAGATGTAGCATCATTGAAGAGCTTTGACTCACTCACAGGCTGCGGGGACATTATTGCAGATCAGGAAGACGACAGCATCACGGAAAGCACAGTTTCTGGAGAGAGGAGCCGGAATGGAGGGAAGAGGGCCTCCTGCTATCTTACATATCAGGGTGGCGGTGAAGAAATGGCCTCACCTGAAGATTTGGATGAAGAGTGTCTTGATGATTTCTGGGGAAATAAGACTTTGGAAAAAATCTGCTGTGCTTGCAACGAAGACCACACAGATATGACCGCTGAGCTGACGAGTTCTCACAATATGGATTTATTAAACAGTAACAGCATACAACAAGCCAGTGGCATGGACACTTCTTCAATTGCTGATGTGTTGACTCCTCAAAGTGAGCATCAAGAATCAGTTCCAAACAGTGATGAGGGCTACTATGATTCAACGACCCCAGGGCCAGAGGAAGGTCAAGACAAAGCTGACAGACTGCAGACAGACAGATTACCCAGGGACAGTTACAGCGGAGATGCACTCTATGAACTCTTTGCACCTGATGAGAGCCTCATCAGTCCACATTATGAGAGCAAATCAAAGCTTCCCGGTTCAAAACAGTGCGAGTATTTAAGTGAGCCAGTCGATGTGACGGATTCAGCCTTGGTTCCAGACATGGATCGATTACAAATAAGCACTGAGCGGTATGAAGTTCAACATTTTTTTGAGAGCAGTAAATCCTCTGAGTCGGCACAAAACGTGGTTGGTCGGCAGGAAATCAGCTTGAATAAAGACTGTAATTTGAATTCAAAACCACAAGCATCAGGCAGCAGGCATAATATAGAAGCGGATGTGTTTGATGAAAAAGGAAATACACTTGTTTCAGCTGAAAAAAGAACAAAATCCGTCAACACAGACTGTGAGAAAAGGCACAGCAGCATATCGTTCGGAAGCACGTCTGACCCCGACTTTGAAACATTCTGTGAACCCAAAGAGCAGCATCTTGAGGAAAACAAGCCTGTGGCTCTGCCATACAAAAGTATCAGCTCTCAGTCTCTGGATTCTAACAACGATTTGGATGATGGGCAAACCGTGTGTTTCTCACAAGCACTCGTTGACTACACAAAACACTCTCGGATGCTGAGCAACTTGCACAACAACGTGGATGATATGGAGACGAACGCTGCCTTCACTCCAAACATGGAGGCCTTACCCACCATAGTCACGTTTGATGTAGTGGATATGCATAACGAGGGTGAATACGACGAGCAGATTCACATGGAGCTGGAGGAGGACATTTCATCGCCCTATCAGGACTGTGAAGAAAGCTACCTGCAAAAAGACGCGTTTGCAGAGTTCGATTATCAAATGTTAGACCTGTACGAACAGAACCTGATCAGTAACACATGGGCTGTTGCTAGTCTCCCACGGCACCTAGGCCTTACAAGAGTCAGCCAGTCCATGGCTAATCCACTGTCTCTAGACAGGAAAAGTAGATCTCTAGACACAGAGGGCCGTGAGTTGAAGATGCCTGACACATATAGAGAGGAAAGAGCCACTATTGTTTCTTGCACGCAGACTGAAAAGGACCCTGAAAGAGACTCCTTGCCACATTACAAAAAGAATGTACATGTGTCTGCATCAGATGTTAAAGACTGTAGCAGCATTATGGCCTTATCTTGGCAAAAAAGGTCAGAAATGGCTCTAAGCCTTCCTCTGACAGATGGGGAAATCACTGAAGTACAGAGCGTTAGTCAAGCCCACGTTAAACATAAACTATTTTCCTCTTTATCGAGCAGTGATTTTCCTGATGGTAAAGTACAGCGTCTTTGCTCTAATGTGTCAGACAGAGTTTCCTGTGATATGATGTCACAGAATACAGAGCCGCACAACAGACAGTGCCACATTCCTTTGCAATCGGACTCCTGTTTACCTCATAGCACCTTTGTTTATCCTGACATGGTGGAGGAGTTATCCGAGGATATCGACGATGATGAGGTTTTTTGTAAAGCTGCCACTAATTTGCAGTCCTACAAGCAGTGTGGTAAAAGCAGAGCAGTGGCTCATAGGGAGGGGATGTGTCATGCAGGGAGTCAGTTAAAAGCAGTTGTGTCTAAAGATGAAATGGCCGCCCTCAGTGAAACAAGAACGCCCAGGGATGTGGGGTGCCTTGTGGCCTGCACAGATCTCCCAGAGACGACCTTTGATTGAACGACTTTTACTCATACCGTTAATATCACGTGTAAATGTGCCAATGAGTGCTTTTATGTTACATCCAAAGGAATAACTGTTGCTTATTTTTCACAACGGATTCCTTCTAGCACACTGTGATTGACGGGACACAAATTGAAATTTTTACTTTAGTGTGTGCCATCGTGCTGCATCAACTGCAGCGCTGTCTTGGGAAGTCAAAAGGGTTTTTCTGCATTTGCACAGCAACGGTTGCTCATTTCACACAGATCACAGACATATCAGTCCACTGAAGGTATTAGAAGAGATTCTTTGTTTTATTTGCATTTGGAAATGGTCACAGATCAGATTCATCTCATCCGACTGATTAATAATAATATTAAGATTTTATTTTTTGTAGCCTCCAGGACTGAGCCACACGTTGATTACAAAGCTATTCATTAGCCCCGGTTTCCATAGCACAGCCAGCTGCCTGTAAACACATGCATAGTGTGTGTTTGCTTTAAGTGCCAGCTGATGTGTTTACTGCTTCTTCACAGCCTCTCTTTGCTGCAGTAAAGCTTAAGTTGGCTTGTCCAAATTAAATGTCATCAGCTGTTTTCTATCATTTCAAGGTAGATTGTTTTTAGGAAACAAAAAGAGGAGAATCACTGAGGGGAATATCTTCATTTGCAGGGAGCAGTCCCTCAATCCACTATAGGATACGATTCAGAGCAGATCCGTTTTCAGACATGGACCCAGAATTTGTCTTTTACGTATAGAGCAGTGGTCACCAACCTTTTCAAGCCCAAGATCACTTTTTAATTCTAAACGTAAGCTGAGCTCTACCACCCTGGTATCGTCCAAAAACCCACTTAGGAGGTTCATATTTATTATTTCTGCTAATTCTGTCAAAGGCTTAATGTACGAGCATAAATATACACACAGAAAGGCAGTTATGCAACTTTATCTATTCGATTCACAATATTCACATTAATATGAATTCATATTTACAATATTTAGCTTCAGTTAAACAATATCTTCTGCAGAGAATCTGCTACTGCAGCACAATGATTTTACATAGGCTTTGTCTTGAATATCGCCATAAATATAACTATTTCCTGGTATCAAAGTAGTCCTGTGTACTGAAATAAAAACAAATACTATAAAGTGTGAAGCCATGCATCTTACGCTCCTGCAAATATAAAAAAACTCTTTATTAAAACAAAAGAATGAATTTGGTCAACAGAAATGCTGTGACATAAATTCAACAGATAAACATTAAAACTCAGGTGACAGATCATTTTCTCTGTTTATTCTGCTGTGAACGTTTATCTGTCTTTGTTACAAGAGCATTTCCAACACCAAAGGATGCATGTCTTCATTCCATAGTGTCCTGACATTTGTTTTAGTACATAATCCGACTTGTATTGAAGGAAATGCAGTCGATAAACCAGCAGCTCCTCCGCCAGTAGTGGACACGCTGCCCGTGTCAACAACAGACAACCGACACAGCTGATCTGCGGCGCAACCGCAGCCATTGAGTCCAGAGAGTTACAGGGATCGACAGTGAAGACTGTTGAGATCGACCAGTCGATCAAAATCGATGGGTTGGCGACCACTGATATAGAGAATGCAGCAAGAGATTGTTCGGGTCAGACATGATCGCAACCAAAGGAAAATGTTCGGAACATTAAGGCGATGGGTGGCGACGATGGATGTGTTACAAGTAGAGCATGCAGGAGGCAGGACTTAACATGGGGCAGTTGTGGCTCAGACGGTTGAGGTCGTCCACTAATCAGAAGGTTGGTTGCTCAATCTTCCAAAGTGTCCTTGTGCAAGAAACTGAGCCCTAAATTGCTCCTGACGCCTATGCGGCATGAGTGTAATAGAAGTGCAGCATTTATTAACTGTATGAATGTGTAAATTAGAGACTGTGGCTTGTAGCTCTGTGAGTGGTAGATAAGACAAATTGCTGCGGAAATCATGTGTTTGTTTACAGCACATTGACACTGGCATCAGCCCGTTAGTCTCTTGGTCTTTGTCTTCTAAATGTATGGCTCCTCTTTACATCCTGAGATATTTGTATTCATTTTTTCCATTGTTTTACATCTGTTGTATGTTAGAAACTCAACATCATCATTTACACCTGTGATTTTTGTACTGTGACACGTCAAAATGTCTGCCTTCAAAAGGCGGATAGACAACATGCATCTTGATATCTTTGTATTTGGCGAAAACTCTAAATATCTAATAGGAAATGTACAGGTAGACTGGGATTTCATTTACATACTGAAGTCAGTGTTGTAAGTGGAAGCCACCATTTGTCAAGAACATTTCCAGATAATGTACTGTGTGTATGAAAGTGCTTTACATCAAGGAAACAGCTTGGAAACTTGTCTATAAAATGGTAAAAAGAAATCAAGGTAAAAAAGCTAATAGTCTGTAATTTACTGTGCGGGCTTCAGACCTGACGAGCCAATCTGGCCCTAGACATGGCTGCTGTTTTTCTTCGGTGCTGTTTTCCACCTGTAAAGTGCATATTTCTTACTTTAAGGATGCACTCCCTTCACATGTTACTGTAAGCTAATAGAATGAAAAATCTTTTTGGTTTTGTTGAAATGTTATGCTAAAATATAAGCTGGTATTCTCACCTTGTATCGATTTTTTTGTTGTGATTTGAAATGTTTTTATTGGTCAGAAGTTAAACTGTCAGATGATGTAGTTTTTTATGGCGTAATATTGAACAAATGTAGTTATATTCTCAGCTATTTGTACACTGTAACGTATTTAGACTGGTTATTACAAATTCGCAATATTCTCTTTGAGTTCTCTTTTTTATTATGCTATTCTTTATATTGAGGTTACATTCATGTTACATCACAGGATTCTTCTGGAAAGTGTGTTACATTTTTGTCAGAGTAGAACACTGCCTTACACGAAAATAAACATGTCAAGAAAGCATATGTTTTTATTTTATTTCACTTGCTTCTGCCTAGTGGCATGAGGGAGATTAACATTTCTGCCAAGTTCAATGAGGCCAGAGGCAGGGCTGACCTTTTTTAAGACCATCAGTTTCAGTTTCAGATCAGAGCTGGGGGAAGACGCTGACGAAATTCATGTGAGTCGGAAGCTCACAAATGTGTGGGCGAATCTCTAAGTGGATGTTGTAAAAATAAAATTGTAGTAGGAGAACAGGTGTAGATTCACCCTTTCAAAACTTTGAAAACCCATTTCACATCAAAATTTACAAGGTTTCAAACCTGGAAAACAAACTGATGAACTGTGACACATTTGAAACTTAAGTGTGCTGAAGAAACACTGAAAAAAGTTTTGAAGACGGAAAATTGAATACAAAATAATGCTGACAGAGATAAAATGTGTTTGATCTTATTAAAACATGGCTTCAAAACTTGGTTTCAGTCATGCAAAACATGTTTATTAGACTTCAGGCTTTCAAACACAAGGTCGACCTTTCAGTGCACTTTTTCAGTTTTGAAATATGAGTCTAGGAAAGGCTCCTGAGGGCCCACAACAAACATGGATATATCATTGATGACAACAAACAGCCTTTCTGTATGCATGTACATGAGATACATATTATATTTAAAAAGAATACATGATTGGTGTAATCTGCTTGCAGACTTATGTATTCAAAGTGTATGGGAATTATACTTTGGAGTTTAGTTATTCAATTAGGTTTAGTTATTGTTGGCTCAAATAAATTACAATTAATTACCCAAATTTAAGTCTATAATAAAGTTATTTGTGTCTGTACTCTACTGGGGATTAATGACGATGTCTTTGCTTATTTGCTGCTGATCAGTGTTAGGGATCCTTATTATTCACAGACATGGTTAATAACAAATCGCCGCGTTGGTAAAACATCTCTTAGAGTATGTGGAGGCTACAGATGAAGTTTCCTGACCCCGGCTTGTTTCCTCTCGGTTTACTTGTTTCCCTCGCGTTATCTGGCAACCCGGAGCAAACTGCGACAGCGCCAATGGCAGCAAAACACAAGCGCTGAGGCGAAGAGGATGACAGCAACAAGGTGAGCTGAGCTCCGTGAGAACCGAGCGACGCCGGTGATTTACGCGCAGGTCATGCAGAGAGCCGTGTCGCTCCGCGGCGCTTTCGCCTCGCTCACAAACACGAAACCACCGTCAACTTTTATCTCAACTTAACTGTGGTATTCTCGGCAAAGAAGATGTTAGCACGTTTAGCAGCTAAAGCTAACCAGCGTTAGCATTGGAGCCTGTGGAGCCGCTGCCATCACCGCCGAGCGTTAGCTTGCCTAGCTCGCTATGCTAAGGTTCCCGTTAACGCAACCCAGCAGGGTTGCCTGTCAAGCGGAGTGGTTGGCGTTAGCTCGCAGCAACAGTTACCGCTATTATAACCACTGTGCAGCCGTGTGCTAACAACAAGAAGTGGGTTAGCTTGTTCAGTTGGAGCGGTGACTCTCCAGCTGACCGGTGGGTAACGTTAGATCAGCCCGTTAGCGGGTGCTAACCGTTACTCGGGGCCTAAGGGCATCACAGCAGTCAACTCTAATCAATTCATCCACAAAGCTGACGTCGTGTGCCTCAGTTATTCTTATCACGTTATTCCATCCGAGGATTGTAAGTATGAAATCTCTTGTTCAACCTTCCTCCATTTCATCCCTCTCAACTCAGGATGCTGCTGCTGCTAATGAGACCCAGCTCTCCACTTAGATTTGTATCGACGTGATGATTGTAATAACATAACATCCGTTCAGGAGCTTTCCTCCACGGTCACTGTCATTGTAATCAGACGCTCTGTTTTCAATTGGTTGTAGTTTGGTGTTAAGGGAAGTCAAAGTGTCTGAACATTGTCATCAATCATTTCCACTTTTAGTTTGAATGTTTCCCACTCACTTAAACACAACCTGCTGGATTGGTTTTTAAATCTCAAACTGTATTTAAAAAGCCCTACATTTAATCGAAACAAAACTTAATACTGGTTGAGAAGAAGCTCACATAGATAAACCAAAGTTGATCAGGACTTTATGACCTATAATATTAAGATGGGAATGTGTTAGTTGATTCATACAGAGGTGTAATGAACCTGGTTTTTATTTTTCTAATGTGAAACACTTCAACACTCTCAAATAACACTTGATAAACGTGTGTAAATCTGAATGAAAACTTGACGTTGCTGTATCCATCGCAAATGATAAGTGACAGCCAGCCGCTTAGATATAAACTGCAAATCTCACACAAAATGTATACTTCTGTCTGGGTTTATGTTGAGCAACAGGTTATATGATTTACTTTGTATCACTGAGACATCTGTCTATCTTGGTTAAGTGTTGGAACATTGAAAAAAAATCTTCTGGTTTCATACTGGGGATTTTTTTGTTCGTCTGCTCATCTTCTCATATGTAAAATGAGCAGCCAACATATCCTGTAGAAGGAGAGATGTCACTCCTCAAATGATTATAAAAGGAGATGGCAGTACTATCATCTGGTAAATGCTCCGAATTAAATTACGTCACATTGTTTTTCTTTGTTACATATCATGGATGACCATTTAATGTGTCTTTCCCTTGGTTATCAGATTATTTAGTATCTATATGTCCTAAAAATCTACATTAATATAGGGTTGGTTGTTCATAACGCAGTGACCAGGTGTTGAAGTGATTGAGGGAAGCTGGAAGTACATGACAATGGAAAGTCTTTCACCTTAGCAACGATGACTTTGCTCTGTGTATGGTGTTGGTGGTACTTATGTCACAGCAACAAGCACATGGTCTTCTGTCTAACTGCTGGGTCATTTCCAAGAAAACAAGAGGATTTTACGATATCTAACAACCCAAGCAATAAATGCAACAATAGCTGACCACATTCCTGTTCCGTACTGGATGTAATGTAGGGTCAGCAATGTAGAAGATGGCTTCAGGGACCTGTTTCACTTGTTGCTATGAAACAGAACTACATGAGTCTGTGCATACGTGCAGTGATAGTCTGGAGGCCTTGCTGAGTCTAAGCCTATGAATCTGGAGGTGGAAGGAAAATGACTGGAAGAGCTCTGCTTCCTTCACCATGTACTGATGTGGTCATAAAATGTGATAGATGACAGTGGGCTGTGTGAAATTTTGTCGCATCGAAGTAGTTCCCCAACATTACCTCAACATCCATTCAGGTATTTGTTTGTAAGTGTTCAATCCTTACTTTGCTCTCATCGTAGTCATACTAATTATTCAGTATTGTGACATAATGTTCCACTGATGCTGTAAGCTTACACAAAAAAATTAAATTAAACAGTATATTCTTATTGTCATAAATTGACCCTCAAAATATCTGTCATGCTTTAGTCAGTGGCAGTTCAGGTTTGTTTAGTTTTTTTTTGCATGAACCAATGCTGAAAGTAGAAATCTCACACCAATACATTGGTCAGAGAATGATTTATATACATGTAGGAATCCAGATTGAGTTTGTTTTTTTTTGCAATGATCAGCACTGATAGATGTCTACGTAATATAATGTTTTATTGAAAAAGGTGCTGCCTCAAGAGTTTGGGTGTAGAGTTGTAATGTAGCCGTAAGTGTTCTGCATTTACTGGCTGCCTGAAGAGAGATGATGAGCTGTGTTTGTGTTAGTCGTGACTGGTAAAAAGGAGTTAGCTGATGACAAGGCTGTGTTGCTAAGCAACGCACATCATGGGCTGCGCCTCTTGAAGCTCGATGCTGGCTGTATTCTACCCTCTGCAAGACTGGGAGGAAGTAGTGTCGCATTTCTGCTCGTGAATGCACTTGTTAATAGAATAATTTTGATTATATGTATTTTTTTATAAGCACACTTGCAGTTATTAACAGTGTTGTGTGGTTTATATGGCCCACACCCCACTCTGTTCAAATTGAGACTGTCTATCAGGTGGCTTTAGGTGATACATGGGGATACACTGGGATACACTGTTCAGCCCACACTTAGTGTGTCTGGCTGGCTTGGAGGTTTCTTGTGAGGCAATAAGGCTTTTGTGCTCATAGAGGCGAGGGTTGTTTTGCAGTACCTGACATTAAGACATCTTGTGAAAGACGAGTTTTCATTTTTTAAACAATAAGACTGAGAGACAGGAATGTCAAGTGGAAACTGTTGCATCTGAATTTTCTATTTAACACCTGCATAAGAGATCAGTCACACTGTTTTTTAAATGAGTTTATTGTGAATAAATACAATAGTTTATGTAATATCCACAACACAAAACAGATAAATAAGACAACCTCTATGAAATTTATGAGGTGGAGGAAACTGTCATTATGTATCATTTAGAGTTGTAAAACTTCACATTTCTGTTATCTGTCATGTGGAAAGATTTCTCCCTACACAATAACCAGGGGAAATGAGTTAACAGAAACTTTGCTCAAGTTTGAATGGGAAGTTAGTTAAAGCTTAAAGTACATAATTGGTTTCAAATTAGCAAGTTTCAATAAGTTTGTTGCTATGAGTCAGATAATGAGTGAAAATGTGTAGCCTGTATGCTTGGCAGACACCGCAAAACTGCATACCAAACATCGAACCAGATTTGTTTAGATGTTTGTGAACAACAGACACTAAAACACAGTTGGACAGAGAGAGTGTGCATGTGTTAATTTGGGCAGGGGACTTTTATGTTCCATCTCTCTGAATAGAACTGACTGTTACCCCATAGTTTCCCATAGATGGAGAATAAATTGATCAACCACAAGTAGGGTAGAAAATGAGGGAGCTGAGGAGTTGTTGGCACATTTAAAGATGATAGATTTTTCGAGCCATTGAACAATTGTACAGGAATGTATCATTTAGACACTAATATCTTTCTGCTCTTTGATCTTATTTGCTGTGCAGATCTTTGTCATTTAACAATTTAATTTGTTCACAATTTTTTAGATGGGCCAACAAAATAAATCTATGGGAACAGAGGCAAATTGTTTCTTTCAAAATAGTTTTTGGCTGTATG